ATTTGTATAATGTATCATCGCTGAGCAAGTATTGATATATTATTATACATGCTCCCCTATTTACATCGTGTAATTAAAAAGTATAGCAATGACGAAATCTTTAGAATAACAAATGGCCACCATTTAATTTCTAATGTGTAAATAGCAGAATCAGAGTGAGTATTATTTACGAACGATATAATTTTATGCATGGCAAACTTTTTGAGTTAATAAGAACATTATTGTATCGAAACTATGGATCTAAAATAAAAATACGCATTTTTTATATTATAATTACAGATAACTCGTTTTACTTTATTCGTAATCCCCTATACTATGTCAAATGAAGAACACAAATAAGTTTTTGTTACGTTGTACCCATAATCCTAGGCGTTTAATAAACGTAGTTACTGTGTATGAAATAGTCGATAGGATCGCGAATTGTAATCGTTATTTAAAGAACTACATTGTTAAGGAATTCTTTAATGAGGTATTTTGAACCGTTTTTCACTGTATAACTTATTTATTTGAATGAAAATTCTGCTAGTTAATGGAAAAAGGGGTATATATTAAACGAATGTACTGAAAAAAATATCTAAAAAGAATTGTTTACATATCGTACTGTTGAAAATCATCTCATCTTTTGAAATCATTGTCATAACAGTTTTGTAGAGCGACATATATGTATGTATATTGTATATATATAACATATGTATACAATTTAGGATGTCAGAAACCACGAATGTGATACAATAATTCACCGTAGGTATCTCTTATTTTGTATATTTCTTTGAGGAACTGTCAAGGAGCGATTCTACTACTTACAAGATTAAAACAAAATGAAAGAACATATTCGTAACATATTATACTTTATCTAAATATCAGGAATTGCGATTGAATTTATGTTCTAATGTTAGATTATTTTTTGACCCAAAGAATTTTGATATGGATCTGCACACTTCATGATTTTTCCCTACATATATACGCATTAGGAAAGTTACTTTTAACGTATTTATATATGCGTGTGCACATGCTATAATAAAATTCTTTAGTTCAAACCGGTGGTCACTAAATGCCCTCCTATACCTCTTTTTTCTAAAAATCAAATAAAACTATATAACCCAAATTATTCAACATCGTATTTTACTTGGTATTTTTTTATATATCCTATAAATATGTTATCGTATAATTATATGATTATTTATGTATAATCATATAATTATATACGCCGAATGCATAATTATATAATCTTTATGGCTAAACAGAGGAGATTAGTATTAAGAATAGTACTCGTAATAATGTTCATGTATCCTATACGGTGTTTCTCAACACAAGCTCCAAGTAGCTCTTAAATATTACAAATGCTATCCATTAAGGCAATGTCACCTTTATTCATTACAGATAAAGAATCGAACCTTAACTCTGCGGAGAGTCGATACTGCTCTTTGCGCTTCTGCTCCACAAAAAATTTCGCATATGTTACATATATTTTTATTGTTATTATTGCGAGTATTATTGACGTCGCTTATGCCTATATATTCTGCATCAAATTAAAATGCATTTAATAAATTTAATGTATCATCTTAAAGGAAGAAATTCTGGCTGATACAAGTTTAAAGATATAATACATTTTCGATAAAATTATATATATATATATATATATATATATATATATATATATATATATTTTATATATAATATAATATATAAATAATTAAAAAAAAAAACATTTTTAATAACCATAAGCGTATTTCGTCGACTTTGCTTGTGCGAATAAAGATGGCTTTTCTTACACCTTGCATATTTTACGTATTTTAATAAGTATCTTTCGAATTGTTCTATGATTCATCGGTTGAGAAACACCAATGCGTTTTTCGTATTAACTAATGTTACATCATGTCATGAGAATGTAACGGCATCCCCATAGCACCTGAAGCATACAGTGAACATTCTCCCATGTATTATTTTATTTAATTACAGTCAGTCATTGGATTTATTTCATAACAAACTCCCTCATTTCTGAACTTTATTAGATAATTGCTTAATGCATTCTTGATAGATATTCAGAAAAATTCAGTACAATGCATAAATTTCCAATGGACTAAGATTATAATAAGGCCTCAGAATATTTGACATATTGTAACACCCCATGGCTCATAGGCATATTACATAAAAGTACAGAGACATCATTGGCGTCCCTATTGATGCACATAAAAAAAAAGAAGTAATAATGTTGTATAAAGGAACATCAATTCTAATGCGTTTTACAAGTCTGCAAATAATACTGTCCATAATTACGTACGATATTAAAATATTGTTATCAAATGTTACGAAAAGGACATCAAAAAGAAAATTTCTATCAGATATGGGATGTTACATATCTATTGTGTTGAACATTTTTAATGCAGTACTCTTCAGATATTTATGCAAACATATTACAATGGAGAGTATATAAAGTGCTACAAAACAATTCCAATATGCTTTATAGTTGTTTAATACATCTACGTTATACGTTCATTATGTATTTGTAAGGCCATATACGAAATTTAATACAAAGATATTGCCTCTTTAGACAATATACTCGATATATTGATTAATTTGGAAATTTGTCTATTCATAGACAAATGGACGACACAGCCTCAACAGAGAATGTTCACAGTGTAAGACAGCAGCACAGACATATCTCAGCGCAACCTCCCTTTACCATTTAATTATATTATCTTCGTTTTGCAATCGTTTAAAGCAGAGTCTTCTCAATTATGTTCAAAAGATCCTTTGTAGGTATTATTAGGTATGGGAGTTTGCTCTTAAAAACTAAAATAATCTCACCTATGTGAATTTTTAAGTTATTAACTATTTATCGGTACACGCTCAATTAACTTTACACATACCTGCATCACAGAGTTTCCTTGAAATCACCCATACACTGTCATTACGTATTTAATCAACATTGTTTACACATTAAATGAGAAATGTACCTACAAAGGGTATTTTGAAACAATAAAAATACAAGTCTACATAGAAACTATATCATATGAATTTTTGTCTCTTAACAATGTACAGAACTTAATGTTTACATGTAAATATTACATAACAACGGATAAACAACAATGTTCAACAGAATGTTTTGTACCTAGGTGTCTACTATGGCATAAGATAGGTCATGTGCCGAGTTATTCTTGGCTACTGTCAAGTCTAAGCCAACATTATACACAACTAGCCTGTTTTTAAATAAGATGTGCATGATTTCAATGATTTATTAATCATTATTACACGCCATCTAACTACTTTCCGCTGTAGGGGCTTCTAAAAAGAATGGTTTATGTTTACAATCTCTATTTAAGTAATTTCAAAATTGTGTAAATTTGTCATCCTAAAAATTGCACTTATAACAATTATTCTAATACGTTGTATTATCATAAAAAAATATCAAAAAATTTCTTATTTAAAAAAGTTGATAGATTAACGCGCGTTTCTTATTATTTATAATAATCGGAATGAGATTTTTGAAACTTTTTATTTTAATTTTATTTTAACAATATCTAAAGTGAATGATATAAGTAAACAGACCTCTCATTATTTAAATTCAATAAAATCGAATTTTTATTTACGTTTCACTATATATGAGCACATATTAATCATAGATAAAAATAGCACATAATTCGAAAAAAAAACCAGAAACTTGTAAGAAACAAGAATTATATCCAAAATGTTAGATAGAAACTCTTTAGAAGCCCCATAATAACTTATCTCCATTCAACATATCTTTCTTTCAAATTTATTTCACTCACTCTATGGTAAAACACACAACATTACAATATAATCCTATCAAAATGGCATTCAGTATTTTCTTATAGGATTATTTCATTCAATATATAAAAAAAATATATAATTTCGACTACTCAATGGAAACGTTCAGTAATCGTCAGTTTGTACTATCCGAATGCCATTTTTGTGTATATTACACTTTTCCTGGACTACTTCTACAAAGATTGTGTAGGGTTGCCCATGAAATTCTAATTGAAATATAATTAATATCTATATATGTATATGTATAAACATATATATATGTATATATGTTTATGTACGTGTATATAGTGGGATTTTATTGATATATAGTCAGTTCACACACAATGCTCGTAATGTCACGATATTCTGCAAGCGTCTTTAAACTGGCATCATCATAAATCACTAAGATACTAATTTAGTTGCACATAGAATCGTGTAAAATTTTGAAAAAATGATTAACATAAACTACAGAAAATGTGAAAATTTAACATATAACATGAACATAAAAATTACTCATAATTTTTAATAAAATAAAACAGCTTAACATTTGATATTTTGTATTTTAAACGAAAAAAAATGCTCGAAAAAACATTAAATTCGAAGAATTAAATGTAATATTATGGAATAATGAAAGTATTATAAAACAGTATTATGTAAAATTAAATTGGTTTAACCAATTTAAAAAAAAATTTTTTTTTTTTTAATTTCTTTTTTACTTGAAAATTTTTTTCATCAAAATTCATCAAATGCATCAAAAATATTTAAGTTAGTATTTAGCTGCTAACCTGTACATAATGCTTAGTTAAAAAATTACGATGCCTGCGCACGTAGTGCTTCTAAACTAAACCCAATAAGTTTCGTATAAAGACTCTTCTACAAAGCGTGCTACGAGATGTGACTGACTTATACTTACCTGAACGGGTGGCAATACTCCCACTAATATTTATCTTCAATTGCACACATTAAGTGCTTATTAATTTTCTTTATCGAGGTACTTTTCGATTTCGGCAAATATGTACGCTATCTCGAGTACGTCATGTCGATACATATACATCATATCCAATTTTTTTTTGGTAAGGTCTCAGTAATGCAACGCCATCACGATTTACTGGCTTCATGCCAACTCCAAAGATATTATTTTCGTTATAACTTGTATAATTTAAATAATTTATAATTTACATTTCCTGCAGAGAGAGAAAGAGAGAGAACACAAGTGGTTGTACGCAAGCATATTCGGTCAGCTTCAGGTTACTATATTACAAAGATGCTTGGTATATACCACCACATTGCAATTGATTGATGTATGACAGAATTTCATTTTACATCATTTTATATAACGTTTAACGTAGACACACTCAGATACACAGATAGATGTAGGGACGCACCTGAGTGTATGCGTGAACCGTGTTGTCATATGCTCTCTAACGCACGCATCTTCGAAATGCTTTTTTGATTTTCCGTGGTGCTGGGGCCGCCGATTGAGGTGGAGCACTATAAAGCAAGATATATTATTTAGTACGTATTCCGTAAAGTATAAAGGCGTAAACGCGAGAAAATTTGAGCCATGAATACTTACGTAAATATTGGTGGTGCACTTCCTTTGGTGAAGTTGTACAAAGGCCGACTATTAGGATCGAAAGCGGGAGCAGAAGCAGGAGAATTAAAATTGAATGCTCCGGGTGTCGCCGATGTAGATGGCTGCAACATTACAATACAATTTATTTGGGGAAGGAAAAAAAAAACGTAAAATCTGTGGCAATAAATAATTATATCTGCATTTTCAATGTATTAAATATATATCAATAATTTGTATATATTCACCATTCCTCCAAAGTTGAAACTTCCTGATGTCGCAGCAACCGGAGCTGTGGATCCAAAGTTGAATCCTGTACTGGACGAAGGTGTAGACGAAAACGATGACGTTACTTGAGTCTGCGGATTTGTCTGTGGGGCACCGAATATCGGAGTTGCCACTGCACCTTGACCGAACGCCGCCGGTGTTTCTTGTTTAGGTGGATTGAACGTGAAATTGGCAGTGTTCGTTGGAGCAGAGTTAGCTCCAAATGTACCGCCACCGAATGTATTGTTACTGCATACATTCGACGGCGTACTCGAACTGCTACCAAACGTGAAGAGCGGCTTCGCAGACGACGCGGACGGTGGTGGATTAACATTCGTAGAGAAGTTAAATCCGCTGCTTGCCGATTGTTGCGACGAAGCCGAACCAAACGTGAACAAAGACGAGTTCGGCGCATTAGTCTCGACTGGCTTCGTGGTTGAGAATATAGTAGGTGTTGCCGTAACACCTCCGAAAGCGGGTGTGGTAGTGTTTCCAAAAGCCGAGGCATTAGATGATCCGAAGGGCGACGAAGTAGTCTTGTTGGACAGTGTGTCGAACGTTGGTAGAGGAGTTGCCGTGGGCGGTGGTGAATTGAATACGGGCAACTTCGTTTCCGACGTACCGAAAATCGCTGGTTTACTCTCGGTATTACCGCCGAACGTTGGAATTTTGTTCTCGAGCATGGAAAATCCTGGCAAAACTGGCAGCTTGCTGCCCGTTGCGGCGAACGACGACGGTTTGTCCGTGCCGAATGCTATCGTCGTCTTCGACTCGTTGAATAGCGGTGTGGCACTCGAGACGATCGGGAAGAGCGGAGCGACCGGTGTATTATTCACGGCTTTGGTTGACGGAGTAGTCTCGGTTGTCTTGCTTCCTCCGCTCGTGGATAATACGCACGCGGCAGACGACATCGGAACCTGACCGAAAGACGGTATTGTAGCTAACTGAGATGACGTCTTTGTGTCGGAAAATGTGAAAGTAGGTTGAGCAAAAGTTGGAAGACAAGTAGTCGTTGCATTCGTGGAAGTTGTAGTGGCAGCGCTTATACCGCTTGGTACCCCGAATGAAAACGTCGACTCCGGTTTTGCGTTTAATATACTCTTCGTAATATTTTTTTGGGTCAGTAACGACGATAACATTGGATTAGTGCTGACTGGTGCTGCATCAGTTGTTGCTGCTGCTGGCTTGGAACTTTCTGTCACATTGGTTACAAAGGAAGTCTTTTGCGTTTCCTTATTTGAAGCAGGCTGAGTAAATTCTGGTTTCTGTACACCAAAGGTGAAAGGAGAAGCGGTCGATGGAGCGCTGGACATAATGCTTGTATTCTGTTTTTCACTTGCTGCTGTTGAACCATCACTTTTCGGCGTACCGAAAAGTGTTTCCTGTTTGGTTTCCTGATTCTGACTGGTAGATTCGGGTTTTTCAGGACTTTTTACATTGAATAGAAATCCTGTACTACTAGAAGACGTTGTGACACTATTGGTTTTAGATGCTTCACTTACAGCTTTGTTCTGTTCCTTTGGAATACCAAACGTAAATTGTGTCATGCCACTATTCTGTTGTGGATTACCAAATTTGAATCCATTTAGAGGAGATGCATCGGGTTTAGATTGATCGTCGACCTTATTCAGACCAAACTTAAATCCACCCGGTTGGGTAGATGATACGCCAAATTTAAATTGCAAAGTAGAGTTAGTGTTCGATGAAGATTCGTTTGATTTTACAGTACCAGGCTTTGAAGCTTGACAAGCCACACATTCCGTATGCTTAGCGTCATTTTGTACCAAGCAAGAATCGCAAGTCCACGCACCCTCTGGTTTTTTAAATTTGTCTCCGAACCCATTACTCGATGTCTGTTCCGCTTTGCTCGGCCCACCAGTGGAATTAGGTTTAGAAGTGCTGCAGCAAGGGCAGGTGGTAACGGAATTGTTATTTCTAACAAAACATCCTGGACATTCCCAGGAATCTTTGCTTGGTTTAAATTTGCTCATTATTTCAGAATTATTAGACGTTTTCTGCGTTGCCGTGACTTCTGTACTAGTATTTAACTTTTGCGCAGACGACTCCGTAACATTATCCGTCTTCTTCGATTTTGTTTTTACAGAGGTCATAGGTTTAGATGTATTGCAACAAACACACGTAATAACGTTCGCGGAGTTTCTGAGTAAGCAACCGGAGCATTGCCACGATCCTTCGGCAGGTTTAAACTTCTCCATTAAATCAGAATTTTGAGATTTAACAGTTTTTTGAATCGTCGAACTACTTCCCGGTTTTGGTGTAGCGCACGCTACACATGTGGCATCACTCTGCTTGTTTCTTACACAGCAAGCTGCACATTCCCATTGATTCGTAGATAGTTTAAATTGAGAACCGAAGCAATCCTGTGCGACTGGCTTTGGTTCCACGACTGTCGTATCTGTTGTTGACGTTGAGGGCAACGAAGTTTTCTCATTAGGATTGGACCGAGAAGTCTTACACGCAGTGCACTGTTTATCCGTACTGTTGTTCCTGATCATACATTCACTACACTCCCAAGACGACTCTGTACCATACGTGTTTGCAACATCAGAATCCGAGCCGACGGATGTACTAGCAGTCTTGTCAGTGTGTGTCGTTTCAGAAGCCAATCCCGGGCTTACCTGTCCGATTAAATTAGATACGATTTTGTTAGATTTTTGGACCAATGCTTCCAAAACACTTCCAGATTTCAGTTCCTTCGACACCGCAGATCCGACGGAATCATTCTTGCCGTTCTTTACCTTCGTTTTTAATCTGGGTGCTGTAGATGAGCCAGCCCAAATAAAATTGGGAAATGAATTCGGTATAGATGTGATCGCGTAATCAACAGTAAATTCGTTCTCTGTAGTTGAACGTGAATTCGGATCAGTCGTATTATTCGCGCCGTCTTCAGCGATGATCGGATTACTAAAAGTGAAATTGTCGACAGACTGCAAACTCTTCTCAGCTTCTGTCACCTTAATAGGGCTAGCAAATGTAAAAGTATTTTCCTTATTTGCCACAGTTTTGCCTGCGGAATATGAAGGAGGAAGTGGTAGGGTAAAATTGAAATTGGGTAATGTTGTAATTGGCAGAGGTATGTTCGGCAAATTTACAGGCGCTACCGTTTCTTGTTGTTCTAGATTTACTTTAGATTTGCCCTTTAACTTGCCGCGATACTTTTCACTATCGGCATCCTCCGCTCTAAAAAAAAAGATAAATATTAATTTATTTTCGAAATAAATTTGGACAAACTTACAAAACTACAATTGGTAAACGTACCTCAACTGGTACTCCTGTCGAGAAGGCGGTGGATCGCTACGAGCGGAAACGATTTTTCTAGCCATAAGAGTTGTATCTTGTAATTTTTGTCTTCGTCTTAACTTCAATATATCGGGGACGGTTGGTACTGTTAATTCACGCGTCAAATGGCGCAAACCAATTCTAGCGGTTGGACTTGCCACCTCTTCTCGCGCTCTCTTCCTGTTCATTACCGTAGACACAGCGTTATTCGTGTTTTTCAACGGAATTTTCTTCGCGTCGGATATAGGTGACGAGAAATGTTCTAATGCTTCCAATATCTTTTTGGCGGTCTGACTCATCCCCGATGAATCAACTTCCATATCAGAAGGTTGAACTTCAACATTTGTCCTCCTTGGTACTTTAAGTTGTATCTAAAATAAATATATAGACCAGTGTAATTCAGATCAACAAATTGATCTTTGTTTCAGGTAATTTAAAACACGAAGGATCAGATCGTCCCTCGATTAGTTGCGTACCTCGTTTGAATTGTTAAAAATATTACGACTTCGTTTATAAAGACTTGCTGCATTTGCACCTCCAAAAGTAATATTACCACTATAAAAAGGAGAGGATAGCGAAGATGCACGATCTGCAGTGTTTGTTATAATTGATGCGTTAAAACTCGGTCTACGACTGCTTAAAGTATCGCGAGAATTACTGTCTAGAAACAAGGACCTTGGGGATTGTAAATGATTAGCTGAAACAAAAAGATAACACTTGTACAATATATGGATTGGCACATTATTCTTTAAAAATAGATTTTCAACCAAAGAGCTTCAGCAATTTAAGCATATTTAGTTAATCAATTTAATATCACACATTTGTAATTAACTTTTAACGCAATATGTTTATACTTACTAAATGTCAATTTATCATCAACATGTCTCTTTCTACTGGTAAACGTCGAATTATACAACAAGTTTGATGGGCCTTCGTGCCTATTTATCTGTGGAATAAGCGAACTGCATCCACTGGTACTTTCACTGGACTCCGAATTATCATCCATCCCATTTGCTATTCCATTATTAGTCGACGAAGCTAACGAATTTAAGTCAGACCTGTGAGACGTTACAGTCCTAATGTCTGCTGATACTGCAGGAGTCGAAGATATTAAACGGCCTATTCCGCTTGGTCCAGCTGTTGCAGGTTCCAGAAAATCTTCCGTCTGCAAGCAAGTCCCAATAAGTTTATCCATTTCCAAGCGTTTCGTCGCTAAAATTCGTCTAGTTACCATTTCACTATGAACGGGATACTGCTCTTTAGAGGGCTTAACCGTATTCAATGTGGTTTTAACTCTCGTTTTTATAGAAAACGTGCCAGGTGGATGAGTCACATCCATACGAATGCGCGCTCGCTTAATTGGAGGCTGCTGCACATCATCCTCGAGTTCCGTTTCCTCACTATTCCCTCTACCTTCTAACGTACCCTCATTATCTTGAGAGGTATTGAACCACTTACTGATCCACGATGATTGTGGTATAAAATCTGTCACCTTGGTTGCTACTTTTCTCACAAATGACTGTAAAGAATATAAATACACAACTATATAATATACAGCGTATTAATGTCATATATATGTTACACTTAATATATTATATATATTATAACAAATCTAAATAATCAATATTGTAACATTAAACGCATATTGTACAGAGAGCGACAATACGTTCTAAGAATAATCCATGCACGATTACGTTTCCATTAGCGCTGGGTTCAAGTACGTTACGAGCAACGTCAAAATATAAGGGAACGCATTTGAACCCTGTAGGATTTAAAACATAATAACAGTGCTTTTAAGTAGAATCAAATGGTGATAGAACATTTGCAAATTTTGCACGAAAAATAACGTAACGCTGTAAGTTTCACCGAGCTTGCACCGTTCATTTGGTTAGGTTGCAAGTGAGAGTATACTTTTCGAGCTACCATTTAAATTACGTAACATGACGCAATATAGAAAACAATGAGTTTTTTATTTCGATTTCAATGATGTCAGGATTTCGTCCGCGCGAGAACCGTGTCTGGATGCGTTCGGGGAACGGTTGCAACGTAACCGCGCGGATTCGCGCGAAGACCTACGCGGAGCGCGCGATGCTCCGCGAGGCAAGGGGGACGCGAGGAGTAAGAGGAGGAGGAAAAGGAGGAGAGAAAGAAGAAAGAGAGAGAGGAAGAGACGCAGAGGAACGCACTTCGCGTTCCTCAAAGCCGGAGGCCTACGCGAGGTACGTCGGGCGGACGCGCGTCTCTCGCGGCGACGGACGTGCGGAGTCGCGCCGAGGACAGAGGACACTCGTCCAGCGACGGCCCGCGAGGCACACGGGGGGAAAGGAGATTGAGGTTATCGTCGGGCTCACTCACATAACCGTGACACCGTGGGTATCGCGTGGGGGGGCCTCGTCGTAGGGAAAGGGCGGGCATGCGGGACACCATGCGGCGAGGAGTCGGCGCTCGACGTCGGTCCGATCGCCGTGCCACCCTGGTGACCACGAAGGGGCGCGCGAAGGGCGCGCGGCCCGCCGCCGTCGTCATCGTCGTCGTCGTCGTGGGCTCGATCACGGCGCACACGCCGCCGCGACGGTCGCCCGTCGTGGTGAGACTACTCACGTTGTTCGCGTCGTAGGGCTTCGCGTTGCGCGACGACGGCCGCCTGCCGGCCGGATCGCCGCCTTCCTTGGGCATGATTAGCCGTCCTGAACTCCCAGAGGCACTACGCCGTTGCACGACGACCGTTACGAAACGCACGCGCGCGCCGCGAGCATCGCCTCCCTGGGAAAAATTCGGTCACCGCCGGAACCGCGCACCACCTTTCCTACCTCCTGCGGAACGAGAACGAGTCACGAGAGGGAAATAGGGAATATGGCCGCGCTCGGATCACCGAAGACCGCCACCGGGGCGCCAGTAGGCGCTTCCTTCAAATCGCGCCCGACCGCGCGTGCTCCGACCACGTGACCGCGCGAGTTGCGCGCGCTCTCTGCCGCTCTCGCTGACCTCGCTGTCGCCGTCGACGCGTGGTCGGCCAATCGGATGCGGGGAGACCGGAGCTGCGTTTGTGACGCGACGACGCGGTACAGCCAATCACGCGTCCCGTCACGCGCGTATTTCCGGAATAGTTTCGATAGTACTCCGGAGAAACTCGACTTTAGTTTCTAGAAAATCTGTTGTACGCTTCAATTTTATTACGAAAAATTTTACAAATCGCGCTCAAGAGTTGAACAATGTACCGAAGTTGCCGCAATATTAAAAACCTTGAAGAAAAACAAAAGAAAAACCGAAGCACTCGCGTGAATTGATTCCGGAGAACGGAAGATTTTGACCGTGTGAATTATGCATTACTTCGCATCGTTCTGCGACAGCGCCAACAGCCGTCAACACGGTCAACAGCCGTGAAGCGTCGACGCAGTCAAGCGTCAAGCGCAGTATAGTCAAGTTTAATCTGGTATGATTTGCGTCGTATAGTGTTCTGTCCAATTTTGCCTTATTTGAGAAAGGTTTGTAAATAATAATCTTCGATTTATCGACAGTACCTTGTGGATAAATATTTCCTTTACTTGAGAATCGTGATACGTTTGAAAGTAAAGAATTTCTATCAAGGTGCTCCTTGTTTCGTGAATTACAATCTTTCTTAACCTGTATTTGTATTGTTTTTTTATAATATTACCTTTAACCCGGGACGGGCGCCTGATTTTTTTTGTTGCATAAATGGTCACCTGGGGTGATTTTTACACCCCAATTAAAACTCGTTGTTAATCATATATTGCATATTTTTTCTGGTTCTGTAAATTATTTGTATTTGAGGACAATATGTATATAGATTTACTCAACATTTTTTGTAAAAAGTAAGGAAAAATAAAAAAAATGTTTAAAAAAACGAAATAACATATTACTGTGACTTAATTTTTTTGATACTGCAGTGTATTTCACCCCAGCGTCCGTTCCTAGGTTAAATATGTGCGTTTTCCAACAAGTGACACAAGTTGACACAAACATTGCTCTATCTTGCTTTTTTGGCAATGAGTAACAAAGACAAAACTACACTTGTGTCACTTGTAGGAAAACGCACTTTATGTTACATTAAAGATTATTTATACACTGATTATTTATAAGGAAGACTGATAAATGATTGTATTGTCATACATATAATTTTGAATTTTTTCTATTGGAAATAACGAAAGGTATCTTTGAACTTATTATGATTTGTAGCATATTTTAGGAAGCTGTATGCAATGTTCATATTGTATGTACACTGCTATTAATATAGATAATATAAATGTGTGCAGATGGAAGCCGATTACGATGATGATCGCAGTGGTTGGGGAGATGAGATGAATCGAAGCACCGACGATTGTAGCGGGGAAGACACATTCGATAATCCACAGGAGGTCCTGAACGAATGCCTGGATAAGTTCAAAACGCCCGATTACATAATGGAGCCTGGCATTTTCGCCCAACTTAAAAGATACTTTCAAGCTGGAGGAAATCCTGAACAAGTTATAGAATTGTTGTCCAAAAATTACACAGCTTGCGCACAGACGGCAAACCTACTTGCGGAATGGTTGATCATCGCCGGAGTAAATGTCACTGACGTACAGGCAATGGTGGAAAACAATTTGAAGGGCATGATCCTTAAAAATTTCGATCCCAAGAAGGCGGACAAGATCTTTACGGAAGAGGGTGAAACTCCCGCCTGGTTAACCGAAATGATACAGCATCCCACTTGGCGATCTCTCATTTATAGACTTGCGGAGGAGTACCCGGATTGCTTAATGTTAAACTTCACCATCAAGCTTATATCCGATGCTGGATTCCAAGGTGAGATTACAAGCATTTCGACAGCGGCTCAGCAAATCGAGGTCTTCTCGCGCGTGTTGAAGACCGCGATTGCTGGATTTCTTCAGAATACAGAAAACTGGCAGTCCAGCATACAGGAGTGCGCAAAAATGGTGTGTCATGGCCAACACACCTATGTGTACAGTCAAGTCCTGTTGCAAATTCTCGCACAAGAATCCCGTGGTGGTTTCATGATGAAAAGACTTTCCCAAGAGATCACCAAGTGCGCGCAACAAAATCGACACGACGTCACCCCGATAACAATGGCTCTGAATGGCGCTGCCAGTAGTCCTGCGGCATGTCAGGCACTAGCATCTATGCTATCAAGAAACACCTTAAATCCCGCTGACATCACAGTCTTATTTAGAAATTATTCCACAGCGGAGCCACCTCCTATCGAACTGTTACGCAATCCACAATTTTTGGGTAAGTTGATAAAGCTATTTACAATATTATTAAAATTTACAACAAGAAATCAAATTTTCTTCATTTCGCTATGGATTTCTGTCCTTACTAAGTCAAAATATCATGATTTATTCAGCTACTTTGATTTAGTTTTTGTTTTATAATGAAATAATATTCTCTCAATCAACATTTTTTATATTATACATGGAGGACCAAGAATCTAATCCAAGTCTTTCCCTTAATAAATGTCTATTGCATTATTAAGCTATCCAGAATCTAATCAGAAGTTCACTGAGAAATCAAAAATCATTTAGTTGGATTAGTTATAATATATAAAATGGCTATATGTAATAAAAATTAGTTATAATACAATTTTGTATTTTCTTGCAGAATTACTGGTTGATGCACTTTTTAAGCCTGGTGTAAAGATAAATCCTGAACATAAATCAAAATATATATATTTACTAGCTTATGCGGCAAGTGTATGTGAGACAACCGTTAAGAAAAGCAATACTCGCAAAATTAATAAGGACGATTTGAAAACAACTATCCAGGCGATTGAGAAAGTGCATAATATATGTAACATAAATAAAGGATCGACTGAGCTAATAGCAGAGTTGCAAACTTTGTATCAATGCATGCGGTACAAGATTTTTTTTCTAATATCTTGTCTATATCAAGCAAAAGAATTTTTTTCTTTTACTAATAATAAATTTATTTATTACAGATTTCCTGTCGTAGGCGTGGGTGTAATACGGTGGGTAGAGTGTACCGTGACTGAACCGTCATACTTTAAATTATGCACAGAGCATTGCCCTGTGCATCTCGCTTTACTGGATGAGGTTGTGGCTAACCATTATTTGTTGCATCCAAAAGTCTTAAGATTACTCGTGCAGTTGTTTGAAAGCAAACAAGACGAATTAGAGATACTTGTACAAGTAAGCATATTTTATATTGCGCCAATTAAAAGAACAAACAATTGTCAATATTTTATATGAATTAATTTTTCTGCCCATGTAGTTAGAAATGAAGAAGATGTTAATCGACAGAATGGTGAACATGCTAAGCAGACACTGCGTGGTGCCTGTTGTATGCTACATCAAGCAATGTTGGCAACGTGGAGATACAGATATATCTTTAATCAGATATTTTGTTACCGAGGTAAATTATAATACTGTTCTTTCAATAGAGTACCGTATCGATTATATCGCTTTTACTATGATATGGATATTTACGTTTTAGGTCTTAGAATCAATAACCCCTCCATATACAGCCGAGTTTGTACAATTATTTTTGCCGATGGTAGAAAACGAAGAGATTACTGGAACTATGCGTGGAGAGAATGAGAATGATCTAGTTTCGGAATTTATTAGTAAGTATTGACATTCGAAAACAAATAACTTGCTAAAAGTACTTTTGCCATATAAAAAAAATCCATTATATTTTTAGTACATTGCAAGACTCACTGCCCTGTTGTAAGATGACGGTATAAAAATTAACCACCGATAGGTTAAATTGAAGAAAAACAATGACAGTGCGAAGAATGTTTTTATTTTATCTAGAGACAGAGATCCTCATACATACTTATGGCTATAAATGTATATTGGATGAATTCTGCATCCATCTGTGATATTGTCATCTAGGCATTTTCTGTAACAAAAATATTTGTATATATATTATCGACATCACACATAAATACTATAAAATTTTAAAGAGGATGAGACTTGTTAATAAACACACATGAAGGTAAAAATGTTAATTGGCCTTAAAGAGGAATTTTAATCATTGTTACATTTATAACTTGATATTGGTAGCGTTAAGGATAAATATTACATTTAAGTATAAGAACAATTTCATGCTAAAAGTACCGCTTAGAATTATGAAATATATATATGTATATACACAATAATATGAGAGAACAATTGTTAAATCCTTTTATAACGCAGTAAAGATGTAATCACACTATAGATTGCAAGCTCGATTGTGGTTGGAGTTAAGGTTGATTGTCAATCAAAGCATAGTTTTCCGATCAGATTGTGGATTACAATTTAACTCCGAGTCTATTTTTCAACCATTTGGTTGCGACTGACTACAGTCTGTAATGTGATTATACCTTAAAAGATAATGCAGAACTACTGACTGTATCACACACACAATGACTAAATTAAAAGGCAAATAAATGCTTTCTAAAATAAGTTGTCACACCTGCAAAACTATTAATATTAAAGACACTCTATTAACACAAGAAATATTTCTCTAAAAACACATTCCTAACATCAACTTACTGATCATTACGATCACATCTTTTCAGCTGTAACAAAATACATTGTACGTGTAACGAAAGCATAATAAAAAAATAAATACTATAGAAAAAGTACTCTATGAAATCTACAAGTCTATCAAGAAAGAAATAATGATATACTGATACGAAATAAATGACGACAGAGTAGTAAACTGCGACGATTACATTTCCTCTTCATTTAACATAAATTTGAGACTGCGATAATAAATCTGGAGTCATACGTACTGACGGGTTTCCCATCTTTCCATTGAGTAAACTTCACATTGACTTCATCACGTTTCGCAGCCTCTGTCCTCAGATCAGTTTTTAAAGCTTGCCTGACTAACCTAGCTGCGATTTGAGAGTAATTGATGTAACTACAACAAAAAAAAAAGGAAAAGAAGATTCGTATGCATATATTATCCAGCTTTTCAAGTATTCTGTTGTGCACAAATAACAAACAATGTTGAATTAAAATGAGATTTTATCGTTAATTAACTACATCACATGAGAATTCGGTTACATAACAATCCTAATGAAAAATGATTATATACTTGACACATGCATGAGAGAAGAAATGTAAAATATAAAAGGCAATGACGATAATTGATTCCCTTACTTCAATCCCGCCTGTCTCCACGCTGACATTTTTTCTGTTAATTATTTTGACAAAAGGCGAGAAGAGAGCCTTGACGGTCTGACGGGTGACACAAAATATAAGAGACAGAAAACTTGCGACAGAAAACCTTCAGGGGCCGTCTACATGTAGTAAGCTTGGAGCAGTAAGAAATTGACGAATTACAGTCGACTTTTCTCCTCACACTCAACTGTGATTGGTCAATTTCTTACGATTCAAGCTGCACCTATTGTAGACGGTCTTTTAAAGCCCGGTGTCCACGATGCAAGAACTGTGTCCAAATTTCGATTTAAGCCAATCAACTTGCAGCTCTTATAGAAAAGTAGCAGTTTCATTGGCTTAAACCGAAACTTGGACACAGTTCTTGCATCGTGGACACCGGGCTTTAAGCCTGCATACTCCTGCTGCCATTGTAGGGCCTTGGCACATAGAAAAACTTAAGCAGTAAAACTTAAGCAGTAAGAAATCAACGGTTTGGATTCGCTGCCGCTTAGGGCCGTGCCTTAAGTTCTTGACTGTGATTGGCTGATTTGCTTACTGCTTGAGTTTTACTGCTTAAGTTTTTCTATGTGCCACGGCATTAAACGACGCTTAAGAAAATTGATTGGTCCATACACATGTGCATATTAAGGAAATAGAGCAATCAAGAGTTTATCGATGTCCTTTCGTTTTTATACTCATTTTAATATTTTCTAATTTAATTTATTAACTTTATTTTATTTTAAACATTTTTATTTTTACAAGAAAACACAAATGTGTATTTTTTGTGATAAAATGAACGTAAATACAATGCAACAATACATATGTATTCATACACATATCTCTCGCTGGAGTTATGCCTCGTATCACACGAGCGATTGGCGATTGCGTCTACGTTTGCGTTTACGTCTTTGGACCAATCAGAAAGTAGTTGCTGGCGGTTGCGATTCGCGATTTCCGTTCTGATTGGTCAAAAGACGTAGTCTGCGGTCCACTTGACGCTATAAATGCTT